TACCCTTTTTTATGGTAAAAAAAAAAAAAAGAGTAATTAAAACCCAACCATAATTAGATTTTGCTTTATAAAAAGAAGATCAAAGCTCTAAACAATAATTGTTGCTCTCAATTAGTTTACAAAGCTTGAGCTCATTTTAAACCAATTCTTAAGGACTTTCACAAATCAAGATTTACCCGGGAGCAAAACTGAAAGCAACTGCACCGTGAGTATTAAAAAAGTACGGGTGCAGGACAGGGTGCAGGAATTAGAGAACAGCTCTTACAGTTCAGAAGCTGTTCAATTATACTTCATGTCCATAAAACTCCAATAAAATGCTTAAAGAAAACATCTTTAGCAAACTGGTTACTTGCTATGGAACACAACCTTCTTTAGAAGATATGGAATGTCATTGCCGAGCCAGGCAGTCTGTTTCAAAGTTTTCTTACACAAATGCCCTGCTCTTTATTGTATTTACTTATAACACATTAGGTGATTCACTTCTCTAAAAACCAGAAGTGACAAATCATGTGCATGCAGCCAAGTGCCTTAACAGAAAATTTCGCGTTTATTTAAATACCGACTTCTGGATCAACTTCAGTGTCTCAAATTTTCAACTCAATATTGAAACCCATCGTTACTCTAGAAGTCGCAGCGCTGATGAAACTTATTGCCACCAAATCGATTTAAGGTCTATAGGTTTATTACCTTGCTAAGAATTCGGATTATTTGTTTTATTTGTCCATGAGACACACGTTTACTTATACAGCCAAAGACAACAAGTGCTCGTGGCTGCAGGGATGGGTTATACTGGAATGCAAACCTGCGAAGAAACAGAGTAGACGATATTAAACAGACATACACCAAATAGGTGCAGAATGAGAAGTGCAGAATCTAAATCTACTACACGGGTGGGGAGAGGTTACGTTTTGAGATCTAAGACGTACTTTTGAGCTAGTTCAGTCCACTGGTCCAGCCACTTGCACGTTGGAATGTCCCTCATACAAGCCTAAAAAGAATGATATCGTTTGAATAAATGTAAAATTAAGAAAAAGCCTTTTTAAAGTTCAGAACGCGCAGTTATTTCCTTTCTCAGAAGTCAGCTACGTAACTATTTATTACCGCATCGCAGAAGGTAATCTCACTACACTGCCTGCCCGTAGAAAGCGTGAGCAGTGCCATTCTCCTTACGGATAATTTGCTCTGAACCACATACCTCCATGATCTCCAACAAAGCTTCGGTAACGGTTTCCAGCGAAGTCAGCGCAAAAGTCTCCCTTTCGTAGGAACCAGGTGAGAACGACCTGTCTCGGTAGCTGGATCGGAACGCTATGACTGCGGCTGATTTCACTTTGCTGATTCCAAACAGCAAATAAAATTTGGGCAGAGAGAACTCAGTCAAGCTCAGCCTTAAAACTTGCTTGGTCTCCTCTGTTGAAAAATTTTTACATATTAAATTTAAACCACTGAAATCCACTCTGTATTTTCAACAAGCTCACCCTCCCATGAATACAAAAGTAGGAATCATCCTGTATGCCACTTTGCGCATTCCAATACTGTTTTCCTTGCTACTTCTCCCAGAGTATGCGACAAGACCGTGGCCTGTTGCACAGTCTGGTGAAACCAGTCACCAGCAAGATGTGTTCTAAAAACAGGCAGAGAGAAACTTGTTTAAAGGTGTGGTTCTGTGAGACTTCTCCTCACAGTGGTTCAGAAAACGGAAACCTGGGGAGCTCCTGCTCTGAAATACCAACAGTCCTGCAAGTTCAAACTGCAGTCGAACTCTGCTTTTGGCTCTGGCACCAAAATGAAGAAAACCACTTAAATCAGAAGAAAATGACGGCCCTGCTACTAGCACCGAATATTTTTACAATCCTGAACTTTCATTTCATTTCCGTGTCCTTCAAATTCATTGTTTAAACAGGACAGCTTGCCTTCGCTCCGTGCGTCACAGCAAAGCTTTTCTTGATATATATGTACGTGTGTGTGTGTATTCACACATCCCCTCTGTCAGTACAGACAGATGTAAAGGGAGCTTTCAGATACTTAAAAAAAGACAAGATTACATAAACTTTTAATATTTTTTCTGCACAAAATCTACCGTTTTTATACTGAACTTCTGTGGCAAGAAGTGACAGCTAAGTATTTCCTAATACTGATTATTTTAGGACTGCTAAAAACCAGCAATATGCAAAATACCTGTTTTAACTGTATAGTTTCACAATTCCCTTATGTAATTGATATTTTTGTTACCACATTATGCAACCATTCAAAGGATGCACATCAGCTGCTTTTAGCACAGACGTATCTTCTCCTTTCTCTGCGTTACAGGAACTTACTGGTACTTTCTTCTCTTTTTCTGAAGCCTGTTAGACCATTTACATTATGCACCTGCTCTAAACCAGACAAGTCGCTTTTTAATTCCATACTCGTTTGTTGTAGATCATATCCTCAGGCTGATTTGTATGCAAGCTGAATTACATCACGGTATTTTTAAACTCTCAGAATAGTTTAAAGAGAGAAAGACAACTCAAATGTTTCTTGAATAAACTAAGAAGCAATCGGCTTAACTGAAAATCTGAAAAAAACTTACCACTGAAGTGAAGCTGTGAACACGTGCAAAGAGAATGAATGATGTTGATGACGAGACCGTGAGTGGAAGCTCTGAGAGAAAGGGGACCAGTGGCCACCAATAAAGTAACTACATGGAAGAGGTAGGGGAGATGCGCTGCCACATCCAGAGAGTTGTTGAAGGAGAGCATCAGCATGTAACGCGCCAGAATAGCGATATCATCCCACATCAGGTGCTGCTCCAGCGTAGGAGTCGGGGACAGACAAGTCTTGTCGATGATTTTACACATCCTTCCAATCACCTGAAAAGAGAGCAACCATTTTGCTTTGCTCGAACAAAGAGCACAGCTCAAAATTTAAGTAAAAAACATTACCATTTAATCTTGGAATTATTCCATTGCTGGGAACCTATTTTATCACGGTTTATCATGGTTTTTGCATTATTACCTGTACTGAGCTGTCAGAAAGCATCTCATCGTCACATTATTATCTAAGTGGAAATTATTATATAAAAGGAAATTAAGGCAAAGAGGGAACTCACTTTACTTGAAACCAACTTTACATTTCCAGAAGCAAGCGCGACAGCTGTGTCTGCCATAACCTCGGCTTTTATGGATCCTAAGCCCCCTGTGGCACTCGTTTTGATGAAACTGTCCAGCACCACGTCGAGGAGATCTGTTATCTGTTAAGAGATAAAAACCTCTTTTTTATCAGTCAGATTCATTTCATTTTCCCACAGTAAACCACCGTTTAAACACGCAATCATTCATTTTTCAGTTGAAGATGCATCACTACCATCCACTGAAGCATCAGTTTTAGTGATTTGTTACCCTTTTGGAAAAAAGCCTAATACAAATATTAGAAGTATAAAGATTAATTCCACCAGGTTTTACTCCAGATCAAAGTGCTTCACAACCGCGGAGAAACTATAATTTACTTTGTATTATTTTTATTTTATTTTCTATTTTAAAGTATAAATATTCATAAAATGCTGAGCCTAGTAAGAAGAAACTGGATTTGAAGTGGGGGAAAAACATACTTCCAAGAAAACAAGCAAGCTCCTGTCTGTCAAAGATTTTGCTTAGAGCACTACCCATGCAGGTTTCTTCTCATGTACAAAGGAAAAAAAAAAAAGACATATTAAATATATACAGGCAAGACTAAAATCTGTCCAAGTGCACAGAGAACTGTAAATGCACCATGCAGGCTATTTTGATATTGGTTCAAATTCATCTCTCATTGTATTACAAAGATTGGTTGAAATTCTGGATCAGCCAAGTCAGTGATAAAATTCCCACTGACTGCTGTGGAATATTTAATCTTTTAATTTTGTGTTCTCCATATTTACCTGCTAACAGACTTTCATAGGGGACATAACACTCATATTGCTCTCAATATGATCGAAGCTTTCAAAATCCATTGAGGTCTTTTGGGGTGGTTGATTTTGGGGGTTTTGTTTGGTTGGGTTTTTTTTTTTTTTTTTTTTTTTAAATTTAGTTTTTGGCCAATTGCATCAAGCAAGAAAATGCACTCATGCATCCCTCTGACAGCTCTCCCACATTCTCCAGGGCAGTTTTGTGGTGCTGGGCTGCATCAGTTTGCATGACCATTAAAAAAAAAATAAAAATTAAGATAGTATGACAACAAGGAAGCTGATACACAGCCCGTGAGCAAGCCTGGCTACACACAAAGCTGGTCTCGTTTGTCTAGACACCCCCTTCATGAACAGCGCACGTGATGCCAGCTTTTATTTTTTTCATTTTCTTTACTTTGCGGGGAGGATGAGGACAGAATTTGGCTTAGTGTTAAGCTAATGATCAACACAAGGATTGATATTCTATTAATGGTAATCAAAATGTGTTGGTTTCAAGAGCTCAAACAGAAAAAAAAAAAAAAAGAGAAAAAGAGTTCATTCAGTGTTCTCTGTATTGGCCTCTTAAATTCAGAGCTTTGCAGCCTGGTAGGAGTGTTTTATCAAGCTCTTTTCACAGCT